CTCATCAGAATAAAAGAACAAAGCCATCAAATGCAGAAAGCCGGTGAAATGTATCCCCTAACAGCATGCCTGCAGCCTTGAAACGAGTGTGAACAGCCTCGTACCTCCCGGGTTCCTGCTGCTCTCTTAGGAGAGCACAGAGGAACACAAAATCGTCACAACTGGCTTCCACACGTTATTTTGACCCAGACAACAGACTTTAGCTTGCTTCTTGAGATTTTTTTTTTAAATAAAACTTGTGCTATTATTTAAATCTTTAAAAAAAGAACATAGTTTCTTTCATATTGACCTCATTTATATAACTGCTGCCACAATCCATGCAATTAAATATTCCATCCTGCAAGGAACTGAGCACTTTGACTCCACTCAGATATTCATTTAAGCCAGGCTTAACTTTCAATAGTTAATACATACATTGAAAGTAAAGTGTGCAATTAGTGCTTTGCTGAGGGAAGGCTAACGTATTAGTACTTCATAGGATTTATCCCTTAAACAACTGATGTTTACACACATGCATGTGTATCTATATATTTTTATATATACAAATATTTTCACATGAATCTGATAGATTTACATGTATAATATCAGGCGTTAGTAGTTGGGTCACTACAGGATAAAGGAGTAAGGTTTATTGCTCACAATTCAGTGGTGACTTTTGCATAATGTGATACATTAAAAACAAAAACCAGATGTTATGATATAAAATACGGTATAATAACACAAAGGGCATTACAGTAACTTCACAGAAAACAGTAGAGATTCCTCACATGGGATGCCATATCCCTTACTGGTTACTCATCTGCAGGGTTTGGGAAAAGCCTGACATGAAAAAGCAGATTTAGTCTGCTTGCCTGACTAAATAATAGTAGTATTATTTCTCTCGCAGAGAGTGAGAGAAGATAGGATGAAATCTGCAACACAACTAACAACCTAATGCAGAGTCGCAATTCTTTCCTAACCCACGTCTTCAGTCAACAACCCCTTGTCATATTTCGTATTACTAAAGTGGCTTCTGGTAAGACCATCTCCTGCCATATTAGCTATTTGTATCATCTTTCTGGCGAGATGTTTTTCACCAGCACAGAAGTGGCAGAGTGAAGAAAAATTATTATGTGATTAGAAGAGAGAAGAATAAGAACTATCCAATGGATCAGTTTTTCTATACACCATATATTCTGGGACCTACTGCAGATGGAAATCACTTTGGGCCAATAAGCAGTCAGATTAAAAAGCAACTGAACTCTTACACAGCTAAAAATAGTATCTAAAATAGTTGTAATTACTAACTTTGTAAGAAATGTTAGACTTCACATGCTTCAAAGGTTAAGAGAACACAGAAAGCAGCACTGCTTCTGGCAGAGCCACTAACACCTGCTGGTGCTATCGGCACCGTGCTCTCGTCCTTCCTTGTGCCAACCCTACTCCTTTCCCCAGGAATGTTTCAACCCAGTGAAGTCACTGGGAGCTTGAGTATCTTTATTTCCAGAACAGCTATGGAGAGAGGCATACTGGAGGCATCTGGACACATCTAACATCAGTAGGGCTTTGCACTGACTCCACTGCCACGAGGAGACAGCCAGCATCAGCAGATCTCAGTTCTGCTGGGTGACGTTAATTTCTGCAGAGATACACATTTTCTTTTTCAACAGTTATGATGTATTTCATTTTGGAAGCCAAGGTGTTGTTTTTATTTGGGTTGGTTCTTTAAAGCACTTAAAAATACTTTATTTTTAAAAACTACTGGATTTTTTTTCCAGATATCATAGCATTATTATTTTGTCTGTATAGACTTCCATTTGAAAATGAACTTGCAAGGCTGAAATTAAACTCTAGTCTAACCAGTCTGAATAAACAAAATAGGAATTTCAAGATTAAAAACATACGCATCTTTTATCATAAAAATGTCATTGAGCACAAGGGGAGTTTTGAACATACTACAAGACAGACCCTTTAGGCATATACATACAAAACGTATTTTAAATTAAAAAAAAATCCCATTAAATGGCTACAACCCATTCCTCGTCCAAATGCGAGCTTGTGAGGATAACCATAGAAGAGCTATAAATGCTCAAATCAGGAATCTTCACATTTTTTCTACAGTGCTGAGATTATTCAGAACTTTTTCAACATTGTCAAACTCATGTTTATAGCATAATGCCAGTACAACAGTAAATTGTAACTCTATGATATAGTCTCGAACAGATTAGTTCTTTTGGCTTTTGGGGTACTTTCTAATAAAGATTTTCTCTGAAATGGTACTGTAGCTCTTTGTACTTAGAATTCCACCCAGCATGAGTTCATTGTTTAACTGATAGTTTTGAGAGTCACTAAGAAGTGAATTACTCCCACCATCAAAAAAAAAAAAAAAAAGGCAACAAAACAAAAACAACTTTCTGAAATACTCCTGGCAAAGAGAAGTATTTTTCATTTCCTGCCTTGAAGCATTAGTTTCTTTTCTTTCCCCATTCTGTGCTTTTCCCTTTTCCTTCTTATTCTGGCATCTGGCATCTGAAGAATTACCACTTAGAGAAATTAAGTGGTTTCCCTGCAGTCTCGGCAGATAAGGAAATCAACAATGAATCTTGCAAATTCTTTTGCGGCACCAAAACTGCGCCTTAATATTTCCTTTACTTAATGGACTGCGTGTGAGTAAGTGATTATGACAAATGACTAATCTTTTCTTTTTCTTGATCGTCTGTAGTTTCTACATCCCATCCAAAACAGATGGGATGTTTTGCAAAACAAGATTTTGGAAAGTCACCATTTAAGAAAAAAAGAGACCAAAAGAAGAATACTGCCCAGCATAAAAGCAAATGGCAGGCCACAAGAATGAGAGAGAGGATTAGGGCTGAGTAAGCATTGGAAAGTTCAGGCATACTGGAAGAATGAATGTGAGAAAGAGGAGGAATATATCAAAATGGCTTAGACAAGTTTTCTTTGCATTATGAAAGCAACAAAAAGGTGACATGATAAACTGTAGAAAAATTCAGGAAGAGAGGAAAATATTTTGCCCACTGTTATCACTTCACTGTGCAAACAGACAGCCCTTAGATTTTAGGAAAGATGATTCTTTGGGATACATCCAAAAACTAACTCACACGTTTTACATTTAAAATATAAACGACTGGAAAATAGGATGGAGAATACTCTTTTTCTTCCTTTTTTTTTTTTTAATATTCTCCCCACAAACCTTCATTGAAATTAGCCTTAATAGTTTTAGTGAGATCTCATCTTTAAAAAAAAAATGTGGTAGATATTCAGGTCTCCAACCCAAACCTACCAAGTTCAACATGCACACACACATGCGCACAGAAGGCTTCTGCTGATTTCACTTGACTACTTGGCTCAGGGGTTTGCTATAGAAGCTGCCATATATTCTGTTCAAAGCCAGTAGTTCTAATAGGAAAATTTCCCTTGCAAGGATGAGGATTAAAACATACTGTTTTCCAGGAACACAAGCAATTTACCTGAAACACTAGATTCCCTACACTGCTGAGACACAATGTGCAGGCGTAGGTTTTTCAGAGCCCAAAGGCAGAGAGCTGCCTGAGGACTCTGGTTTTTATAGATTAGGTATGTCTATTGCATCTTTGTACGATTCCCCTCCAGTCTTTAGTGGGCTTCATCTTCTAATCATTTTTCTACACCAGCTGTTCTTTGAATAACCTTCGACTTACTGAATAAGCTCCCATTTTTCTTCATACATAATTTCTCTTTTTTTTTTTTTTCTTTTTTAAGATCAAGTCTTTCTTAGGGAAAAGAAAAAGAACAAAACAAACTAGAAAAAAAGAATTTAAATTACAATGATGATGATCATTCTGCAGCCAGGAAAATTATCAAAACTTGCTGGATGTCTAGCTAAGAACACAGAACAGCACACTTTGCTCATGTACCATTTATCACTATGTTATAAGCTGCACATGTTTCTGACTGATGCTATTCCCTAACCAGACATCCTGCCTTCTATGTTTGTATATTTATTCCTTTCATCATGAATCACCTTAGAGCTGCCTTTATAGAATCTTGTATTATTGATTTCAAAAAAAATCAGCAATTTATCAAGATCTACTGTACAAAAATATTTCCAGATCATCCATTGTGGTGATATTACCAATGAAGAATATGTTTGGCTCAGTATCAGTCTAAAAAGAAGAGCAAAGAGAGACATTGAGTCAGAGATATTTATTCTATTTAGTGTTTTTATGTATTTTTGTTTATGAAAATAAAAATATTTCCATGGAAGAAACTCATCTAAAAGATGCTGAAATGATACAATTTAATAGTTTCATTAAATTTTAATATTAATAACTTAAAATAGTCCGGGGGGGGACACGACCCAACACACTAATTAATAGCTTGTGATCACCTCAAACAGTGAAATAATCCATCAGTCCTGTATGTACAAACTTTCCTTTGAGGATTAATTACAGAAAGAAACTAGGATTTTCATGCTTTCAAAATCAGTAAGTTTAGATTATTGTTTCTTATAAGGGTCTGAGGATTATTTTTTTTTCCCCAAGCAAATAACTAGGGTCTCTCTAAAATATTATTAAATAAATGTATAAAATTTTGCATGGTAAAGGATTGAAGGAACAGCACAGGTTCTGACATTAAAAGGACATACATGTGCAGCTCTTCAACTTTTTTGTTCTGGTGGTTTTTGTTAACACAGTTTATAACTTCAATGTTTGGCAAAGTTTTGTTGATACATTCTCCACATTTTCAATCCTACAACAGATAAAAACCCAACACTTCCAACAGAAACAGCTTATAAAATACCCCGTATCAAAAATAAGGCGATACAGAGAATTAGTATGATATGCATTGCTCTACAACTGCTATTGCATATTCCTGTCACAAAGGCATTCTAATCACCAAGCCACCAGTTGGGTGAAGACTTCCTCCCCGCTATCATTAGCATCTGCCTCTCCACAGCTGAATAGGAGAGCTTTTTTATAATGATTCTAACATAAAAAAAAGTTCAATCTCATGTTTCCAACCTGGTCTCCAAAGTCCTCCGGGAACTTCCACAGTACCACTGGATCTGTAAATAATTGACAGAAAGCATTAATCAGAGGCAAAGGAACAGCGTATTACAGTCAGAGTACATTAATATTAAAGAGAGGGTCAGCTTCACATCAAGCTTTGAGGCAAGTGCAAAAATGTATCTAAAAACCAAGGAAGATACTGGATTATTAAAAAGACTTATTTCATATTTATGAAACTGTATGTTTATTGTTTTACATACGGTAGCAGGTTATAATGTACCTAACTATTTTCATATTTGACTCTTTCTTTTTAACCTTTGAGTACTTCATTTTTAAGCAAATGTTCAATTTTCACATTTTAATTTAATTAAGAAATAAAGTGATATAAAACCTCTTTCCATCCAAGGAAAAAAAAGATGTAAAATGATAAGAAGGGGAAAACAAAGATCTCTATGAGGTATAGAAAACTGTCATTTGTGATTTTAAAGATAGTACCAATGTAACCAGCACTCCCAAGGAAGAGTTCAGAAAAGCCAGCACATTTGAATATTTTCTGTCCAGAGCCATTTAAAATCAGCATTTCAAGAATATCTTCAAGTTTTCATTAACCTGTTATAAACTGTTAATTATCAAAATAATCAGTGTTATTTAGGCTATATATTCATCTACAATTAAAATTATTTTGAAGGCATCTAACACAATGACCTGAACCATAACCTTTCAACAAAAAAACGAATTACGCTCTTCATCCCCCCAAGGCTTTTAATCTCCTGTGATACAAAACCTTCCCCAGGAGCTCCTGTTAAACTGTATCGCAAACACCCGTGAAGCCTCACAGCACTTCTATACAGCAGATTAGCGGCAGCATTTGTCCATGTGCCAAAAGTGAAATTACCCGTCTTCCTGCAGGGGAGACCCAGGTCGGTGCCAAAGCCTGGACTAGCGGGAGAGCTCTCCAGTTTCTGCTCATGTCCTAGCCAAGGTCAGGCAGATCCTCCCGCCGCTGACCACGTGGCCGACAACAGCTCTGGGTGCCACAGGGCAGTAAAACGAATGGAGAAACCCACCGGTAAGCGCCGGGGGACACAGCCTGATGAGAACTGCAACCTCCCGGCTACCTCGGGAGCTGCTGGGATTCCTGTCTTCTGAGGAGCCGAGATCTGGGAAACGTATTCGGATTTCCACTTCGGTCTCTAACACTAGCACTGTCTGATAAATCAGAAACTTCCTCCTTTATTGCTACGTTTTACATCAGAACCAGAGGGTTCTCCGCTTCTGGCAAAGTATGGAGGTTTCTACTCTTCTTCATCCTCCATGTACGGCTGCTGCTGCAAATGGAAGCTTTAAAGGAGAGAAACGGCATTGGTGATATTTTCATTCCCAGCTGCTGATTTCAAATCCTACTATTCAACAGGCAGCTGCTGTGCCCGCGTTTGCCGCTGGCCTGTTCGCAAGGAGCTGGAGACTGAAGCCAGCATTCCTCCTCCCCTCTGGGCCAGATGTTAAACCAGCGGTGGAACACACATATTGAACGTGTTGCAAAATTCAACTTGTCAATCAACTCAACCTAATTTAGACCTAATTTTGATCTAATTCAGATTTTAGACAAAAATGTGGCCATTTGACTCTTCTCACTGGACAAGCACATTTTTGCTCCTAAGAACATCTGGGGAGGGTTCTGCAGCTATTATTTATGAAAATGCCTGTGTTTTGCACAAGGAATCTTCCTCCATCTACTATGGGGAGCAAGAACTTCTGGAGGCAGACATGAAACAAGAGATAAGATGCTATGTTTATAAAAATATGAGAGCTAATAAATACAGTTACTTAAAACAGAGACTTTTTCCCCACCTATTTTGTGTGTATTTAAATCACAAACACATCTGTGTAATGACCAGATACACAAGAAGTTTGAACATCTGAGCGCCTATACTGTAAGGGACCTCTTATTTTAATTCCAATTTAGTATCACAAAAAATAAAGTTATTATATGTCAACAGTGATCTCTGATAAATTCAAGGAGCAGCAAGCATAGTAACAGATATCAAATACTCAATGTTAAGTTACTCATAAATTACTTGCTAAAAAAACACTGGAAATTGTGCAGAATCCAAAAAATACCTTAATAGAGCTTGCAAATCTAAGGCCATATGTCCACAAACATTTCAAGCATAAATTTCTCCACAAATGAGCAGAGAAATCTCCACTGCACTCCCACTACCAGCTACTTGGTGATCCTGTACCATCATCCCTCTCCTGCTGGTGCAGACACTTCCACAGCTACATGGCGAACCAGATGAGGGAACTGACCAATTTCAAACCAACCGTCTGGAATTTTTCAGGTCAGTGTCAGCTAGATCAGTTCCCCAAAACCCTTGGTTTTGTGCCAGAAAAAAGGAAGGAAAAATGGGGGACGGGGACTTGCGGTGGGAAGAAGGCAGGACTGCTTCACCCAGCAGCAATCTGGCCTTAAGCATTTGCTAGACCTCATGAAATACAAGTTGGTTACCAGCTATGTCTATTCCCATTTCTTATCACCTATTTCTTGTTCAGAACTTCCCAAGTCTTGCTGTACCGTTTGTAGTTGCTTCTATTGCAAAACTCGAGAGTTATTGTCTGCAAATAGGTGTGTGGACCCTTCTGCAGCAAGGCAGGCTGACGGAGCATCGGCAGGGAGGAACGGGCTTGGCAAGCTCGCCTCTTCGTAGCAATGAAATCGGGTGGATTGTTTTGGCAGATGTGAAGTACAGTTACATGAGAAACATTTAGCATATTGAATGCTTTAGCCACACAGTAACAAAATCATGGGGTTTTCTGATACTTTGCTTTGTAAAATGTTTAATGTATAAACTTCTAAATCGGAAAGAAATTTAATTTCTTTCTTTCGCTGTTCTTAGTGGAAGTATAACTGCCAGGCTTCAAAAAAGGAAGCAGACTGCAATAGCAAAACCTCCAACTGTAATTTTAAAAGGTCACAGTCAGGAGCAAAGTACAATCTCAGAATTAAGCAAAACTTGGCTCTAGGTAACTTGGGATTGGGGTCACAAAATCGTAAAACTCACACCTCAGCGAGATGCCAACAGAGCTGAACAGCATTTCATAGGAGCACCCTTTACCTACTGGCAACAAGATCAACAGCTCCAGTAACTTCTTTCGGTGCCCTGATATGCTAAACAGATATAAAACCTGCAACTATAATTTAGTGTCCTGCTCAGTTTGCTATCTTCACTTCATATTATTATGGCGCTCTCATACTACTTCGGTCTCACTTGAAAAAATAAAAACTCTAAATTCCAGTTCACTGAACTACAGGTATAACAACATTTATTTTCATATCATGAAAGGATATTTATATCATGAGAGGATAATTAAATTCATGTGATCTAAACAGGCAGAATAATGCTCTTAATACTCCTTCATGAAAACAAAAAAGAGCCAACATTTAAAAAAATATTCCTAACTCAATTCAAGAAAAACATTCAGTGCTACATTCAGTAAAAATTACACACCTCCAAGACTTGTCCAACTGCTTTGAGCTGGGTTTTGCAGTTATCATCACTGGCTTTTAACCGGTTATTTTAGTAGGTACCTGCCATACATTTATTAAGTGAGAAAATCTGATGTGGCTTGTGCTTCAAAAAGAAATGTTACTATACTCTTTCTTTGCCTTCACTCTCTGAAACCAAACCCTAACACCTATAAAAAGCCTTGGGATTTTATGACAATTATCTGAGTCAGGGATTGGGCTTTTTTCAAAAGATTATGTTTGTTTCTGCTTTTGGAGCTAGGCTCAGGCAGCATCTGACACATCTTTGTGGCAACTTCTCACAAGTGCTGCAAAGGAAGAAACAAAAGGGTACTGATTTAGAAATAAAAAGAGAAAGTATAATCCGATTCTGCAACTTCATGCACTTTATCTTCAGATTTACAAAGACTGAATTTTCTTTTCCCTGAGGATTACTTTCCAGATACCCCATCTGATCTGGCAATGTTAGGTCAATTCTATGCTGATTTTATGAGTGAAAGGATGAGAATCACGCAGAAATAGCTGTTGCTATAGCCGGCTGAGGAACTACTGAGTTTCTCCTAGTTTTCTTTTTCTAACAGACTTTTTGGGACAAACACTTTATGCCAATTCTAAGTAAATGTAGTAGTAAGAGCAATTTGTTAAGTGCACATGTAAAATAGTTTGTGTATTGCATGTGTAAATGTCTGTATTGTTGCACATGTAAATAGATATATGCATGTACAAGTATCACTTCTTCCTATGCCTACTGCATCCAGGACAGACATTTCTTACAAAAGTACATCTTGACACGTGCCAATAACGCTTGAAAATTCCTTTGGTAAATATCCTACAGCATTGGAAAGTACGTCTCCCAGGAACAAATCTCACACTGCTGTGAGGCTGCATGTGAGCTCATGCACACATTGCTAGACATAACTGGTGATATTTGACTACATTTGCATCATTTGTGATCATGCAAGTCTGTACATATTTTAAAAGAAAGTTTTTTATAAGAATATTCAGAAAGAACCAGTTAAGCCCCTGAGGACCAGAATTAGAAGCAGATGCAACTCTTGGTACAAGTCAGAAGAGAGACAAGCACGGAAAGGTTTGTTGAGGGACCAAAACTTAGAGTACAGTATACTTGATACAAAGAGAAAAGCGAGTCACATGCAATGCTTAAAAACAAAAGTATTCAAAATGTTGCAATCTAGAACTGCTCCACAAGAAAAATGCAGGCAAGTATGATATATACTAAGAGAAGAGGAAAACATATGCATATCCTCAAGGTAAGTAATTCCTCTCCAAAATCTACTCCCACAGAGGTAACTTCATAAACCATGTAATCCGTATTTTTAGGAAAACCACTTCTAACACATTTTAACTTCTGGAACAAATCTAAGCATATATAAAAGTATTATTTCTCGTGACAGAGTAGATAAGTAGTGCATTCGGAACTATGAAAAATAAAGAGAGAAAGCTTTCTGAGTGGCAACTTTCCCAAAATTTCAGTAGTTAAATATACTCTAAAAATACTCGTCACAACCA